TTTTTTTTTTTTTTTTTTTTTTTTTTTTTTTGTGACAGAATTGTGCTTTTGTTGCCTAGAACCTCTGCCTCCCAGGTTCAAGTGATTCTCCTGCCTCAGCCTCCTGAGTAGCTGGGATTACAGGCATGCACCACCACTCCTGGCTAATTTTTTTTTGTATTTTTAGTAAGACGGGGTTTTTCCATATTGGTCAGGCTGGTCTCGAACTCCTGACTGCAAGTGATCCGCCTACCTCAGCCTCCCAAAGTGCCAGGATTACAGGCGTGAGCCACTGTACCCGGTCATATATTCTTTATTAAATAAAAAAAGGCAGGGCCAGCCACGATGGCTTATGCCTGTAATCCCAGCACTTTAGGAGGCTGAGCTTGGTAGATCATGAGGTCAGGAGTTCGAGACCAGCCTAGCCAATGTGGTGAAACCCCACTTCTACTTAAAATACAAAAATTAGCCGGGTGTGGTGGTGCATGCCTGTAATTCTAGCTACTCAAGAGGCTGAGGCAGGAGAATTGCTTGAACCCAGGATGTGGAGGTTGCAGTGAGCCAAGACTGTGCCACTGCACTCCAACCTGGGTGACAGAGGAAGAGTCTGTCGCAAAAAAAAAAGAAGGGTTTTAATTTCTATAGGCTAGGAATAAGTGTAGAGGTGTAAGGAGGGAAATGCACTTTTTTTTGAGACGGAGTTTCTCTCTTGTAGCTGGAATTACAGGTATGTGCCACCACGTGCTGCTAATTTTTTTTTTTTTTTTTTTTTTTTAAGTTTTGTATTTTTAGCAGAGTCAAGATTTCACCATGTTGAACAGGCTGGTCTCAAACTCTTGACCTCAAGAGATCTGCCTGCCTCTGCCTCCCAAGATGTTAGGATTACAGGCATGAGCCACCGAACCTGGCCTGCTATTTAATTCTTTAATTCTTTTTTTTTTTTTCCCACCCCCCAACCCCGCCCTGTTATTGAATTCTTAAATGAAAATTAAGGTTGGGAGCATTGACTCATGCCTTTAATCCCAGCACGTTCAGAGGCTGAGGCAGGAGGATCACTTGAGGTCAGTTGTTTGAGACCAGGCTAAGTGACATAGCATGCTTCTTTCTCTATAAAAAATAAAACTAAAAAAAAATTATCTGAGTGTAATGGCATGGAACTCTAATCCTAGCTACTCAGGAGGCTGAGGGCAAGGGGATCACTTGAGCCCAGGAATTTGTGGCCGAAATGAGCTGTGATCACCACTGCGCTCCAGCCTGGGTGACTGAGGAAGACCCTGTCTCAATAGAATTCAAAAAAGCATCTCCAAAGATTTTCAGTTTATTTCCCTTCTGTAGTACTTTAGGATGGAGCTGATGCATGCTGAAAAACTGAGGAAGGAAAAGGAAGAATTTGAAAAAGCCAGCATGGACATGGTAAGGTCCTAATTATTTTATTCTTACTTGCTAACAATGTATAGCATTTTGAGTCTGCTTAGGAGCAAGAGAAAATGTTTGGAATATGCTTTTTCTTTTTCTTTTTTTTTTTTTTTTTGAGACAGAGTCTTGCTCTGTCTCCAGGCTGGAGTGTAGTGACATGATCTCGGCTCACTGCAACCTCTGACTCCCTGGTTCAAGCGATTCTCCTGCCTCAGCCTCCAGAGTAGCTGGGATTACAGGCATGAGCCACCACACCCAGCTAATTTTATATTTTTAGTAGAGATGGGGTTTCACCATGTTGGTCAGGATGGTCTTGATCTCCTGACCTCGTAATCTGCCTGCCTCAGCCTTCCAAAGTGCTGGGATTACAGGGTGTGAGCCACCTCGCCTGGTCTGTATTTTTCTTTTCTTTTTTTTTGAGACAAGTTTCACTCTGTCTCCCAGGCTGGAGTGCAGTGGCACAAGCTCAGCTCACTACAACTTCTGCCTCCCGGGTTCAAACTTTAATGTTGTTACATTTCAAAACTTCCAGATGAGTCTAGTGTTAATTATAAATGGACTTAGTTAGGAAAATGAAGTTTTATGCTTTAAAAATAGATATTTGGGCCGGGCGCGGTGGCTCAAGCCTGTAATCCCAGCACTTTGGGAGGCCAAGGCGGGTGGATCACGAGGTCAAGAGATTGAGACCATCCTGGTCAACATGGTGAAACCCCGTCTCTACTAAAACTACAAAAAATTAGCTGGGCATGGTGGCGCGTGCCTGTAGTCCCAGCTACTCAGGAGGCTGAGGCAGGAGAATTGCCTGAACCCAGGAGGCGGAGGTTGCGGTGAGCCGAGATCGCGCCATTGCACTCCAGCCTGGGTAACAAGAGCGAAACTCCGTC